AATAAAAAGCTTTTTTATGATTTGCTTATATAAATAATACTTTATAAATATTGAAAACCATTTTAAAAAGATTTTACACTTTTAGTCAAATATTTTGTTAATTTAATTTAGTTCAAGTTATGGTTGATATTTTAAATTAATTAGTTTACAATTTAGTCAATTATTTTACTATGTTGAGATTAAGAAGCTCGTTAGTTAATTAGAATTAATTCGTTTTATTCAATATTTAACCAAATTTACTAATTGACACAATTTGGCTAAGTTTTTACTTAAGTAGACTAAGTTTGTAATCTTTTAGTCCTTTTTATTAATTATAATTCTAGTTATCCATATTTTGTCTTCAACTCATTTAAAAGTCATTTTAGACTTTTTATGTTGCAATTTCAAGCAACCCAATCTACCCAAACTTTTCCTACTCACTTAGAAATTTTCACCACATTCTCAATTAACTCCAAATCTGATTTAGCCTACCTATTTTCCTCACCAAAGATCTAGAAGCTTTCCTAACATGAGCAAATGAGACACGATGTCAACCGACAACAAAGCAACATCAATATTCTCCAAAAGCGACAATTCACGGCAACTTCACGTTGGCAGCGTATACCCAGAAATCAATCTCAAACGACAATTACAATGTCTTCACGGAAAACAGCCAGCAACAGTTAATCTCCAGCGAAATCGTCATTTCTGATTTAGGAAAATGAAAATGACTATTGTTTTAGAAAAATCAATTTTCAAAGAGAGTCGCCATTTAATTTTTTTTTAAAATTATGAATACTTAAAATTTTCAAATCAAACAGATTAAAAATCATTTGAAATCAAAAGAGGGGTTCGGGGTTCAATTTATATTTTGAAAAGGTGCTAAACATTTGAAATGTTTGCCAATTTACGGTTGACCAACGACTTGATTAATTATTTAATTAATCTTAGAAAAATAATTAAGTAATAAAAATTCATTTTTTATTTGGAAAATGATAAGTTGAAGGTAATTTTTAAAGAAAAGTAACTCACGATAGAAAGATAAATAAAAAAAAATTTCTAAAAATGAATTTTTATTACTTAATTATTTTTCTAAGATTAATCAAATAATTAGTTAATCCGTTGGCCAACCGCATGTTAGAGTACATTTCGAATGCTTAACACATTCTCGAAATGTAAATTGAACCTCGAACCCCTCTACGAATTTTAAATGATTTTTAATCTGTTTAAATCTTTTGAAAATCGTAAGTTTCTTAATTTATTTAAAAAATTAAATGGCGACTCTCCTTGAATATCATTTTTTCTTTAAAACATAAGTTAAATTGATTTTTCGAAAACAAAAGTCATTTTTATTTTCCTAAAACAACTAATATGTTTGTATCCTAGCAATATTTATGTTCTTTAGTTTGATGTTATTGTTGTGTTCAAATTCTGGGAGGCTAATTGATATATTTGTACCTTAACAAATCACATCAATACTTATGTTCTTTGATTTGATGTTATTCTTGTCTTTAAATTGTGGGAGGCTAATTGATATATTGTGTGAATGATTGTGAGTGTTTATGAACAAATTGAACTAATGTGATTTTTTAACCTTCTAGGTATAGATGTCTCTAATAAGTCAACACGCACTCATGGAGGCAGAGATGGTAATACTAGCACACCATCCGCGCGCAGACATTGGTTTGATGTTATTATTGTGTTCAAATTTTGGGAGGGTAATTGATATATTACGTGAATGATTGTGAGTGTTTGTGAACATATTGAACTAATGTGATTCTTTGACCTTCTAGGTATGATTGTCTCTAACAAGTCAACACATACTCATGGAGGCAGAGATGGAAATGCTAACGTGTCATCTGTGCGGACACTGGTCTAGACCATCCAAGCCACCTTTGGCAAAGAAACAAAAGACCATTGTAGTTAAACGAAAGGGTCAAGTCAATAAGACAGCATAGCCAGAGTTTGATGTCAACTCATCCAATGATGATGACAGGCCTATTCCACTACCCAAGGGTGTTGGGGAGCAAGTGTCCAAGCCGAACGAGCTGAGTGGGAGGATAAAATTATGAGTGAGAATGCCTGAAAGCTATGGGATGCAATCCGGCAATTACAGATTAATTTACAATTACTTAAGAAGCCTCTTCATATTGATGCCACGAACAAATCCTGCCCATCGATCATGGTAGAAATTGAGAAAAAAAGTTAGATGTGTTTTGCAAAGGGACCTAAGGGTAAGGAAATCATTAGAGAACTATATTCTAATTGGGATTATAACCAGGGCGACATCGTTTGGTTTAGGGGTATAGAAGTGGATATCTCAGCTCAAGCGATCAACAAGCACTATCAAGTTCCTCCATAACCTATGTCTGATTATTGGCGCAAGGAGCAACATTTGAATTTGTCATGTATGCTAAAGGTGTTTTTTGATAACCCAAGCAACGCGCATTGGGTTAAGAATTAATCAAATGACTATGCAGTCTTTCCCAAGGCATTCATGAACCAAAAGACCAAGACTTTGCTCAACTGGACTATCAAATGTTGGATGTCGGCTACTCATAAGATCGATATTATATGGGATTGTGTGCTCCTTATTTATGTTATATTGAATGACATCTCTGTAGACATTAGCGAGATATTGCATCGTCAGATGTTGAAGACACGTATCAACATGAAATGGACTTTATACTTTGTCCACACCCTGACTGTCATGCTAGCTCATTACAAGTTGAACAAGAAAAGTGATGAGAAGGTGGCAGATACAGAGTCAGCATTCCATGACATGTGTGTTGTCCTGGATTCGAATGAGGGTCGTGCCCATAAAGAGTCTAATAGAGACCGCATTAAGGCTTTAGAGGGTGAAATTCAGAAACTGAGGGAAGATCTCAAGGTGTCAGAGAAGACTAGGGATAAGTGAATGCATATGATTGAACTTTTAAGGAGATCCAAGAATTCTAAGCCAACGTGAGATGTTAGCATTCAGATTGATCTTGCAGAATTGGAGAAGCAATTGAGTGTTGTATTTGCTGAAAATAATCTCACTAGATGAAATTTATGCTCCAACACTGAGAGAAAGATATTACAAGCTTGCAACATCTTTTGGTGGATAGACTTTTTTTTGTGGAGAAAATTTTAGATATGTTATTGCTATTGACAAAAAGTTAGACTAATGTGAAAGTAATTATTATGATTAATTAGTGCATTGGTAATTGTGCACCATCACTAAACATTTGTTAGTTAAAACAGATGTTTTGGTTGTCTAGAATTTGTATTGGTCGATAGTTGTTCTTCACTAGCAGATAAAATTAATAAGTTATGATATGTTGAAAGTTGTACCTTAGATTATAAATAAATACATATTTGTGAAAAAAAGACTCTAAGTATATTTATAACTATGAAATTTATGCTATAAATTTAAAAACCGTAGCTATTATCGATTTGGGACACTCATGAGCTCACAATGTGTCAACTTTGCTCAAATCAATATATATTTCACACACAATGGGCCTCGCACACTGCTTGATTTCACTGATTTGTAGAAATTTCTCCTTCGCCTGAGACGCTAATGTGCTCTCCTTGAGTTCACATTACCTTGCTAAAATTTATCTCACAAAGTACAGAAGTTGCAGAAGTAGGTTGTCTACTTGCTAAGGATTCAACAATCTGACATAAAAGTTCAAGACCATAGTATACATAGAAATTAAGTGAAGATATAATTACATAAAAGTTCAACATCATTCAACCATTCAAACAAAGACAAAAGAAAAATATTATTTGTCAACCAACATAAAAAAAAATTTGAAACCATATTACTTTCCAGCAACCTACCATATTGCTTCAGTTCTTCGTCAATCACAACCCACTGCCCATCTCCACCGCATCCGGCTAACAGTATTATCATTCATCAAGGTCATGGGAGTGCGGTAACCAGATACTCAATATAGGACAATGAGTATGAATCGCATACTGCCCTACTATCGTTTCTTGGACTATCCTTCTTCCGCTCATAAATTTATTTATTATTGAGCAGATTTACAGGCAAGTGGTTGAAACATCCAAACTACTTCAACAATCTAGGTAATAATTCCAACACAGAAATAATGAATAAAAAGAACTAATCTTCCCTGTAGATTGAAAGGTTGCAATCATAGTTATTTATCTTTCCCTCGTCGACTAGAAACTCGAGAGCGATCAAATATTTTTTCTTTAGATTCATTATAGTATAGATTCTCTTGGCACCTATCCATGAGACACCGTCGGGATATGATTTGGCTCCTCAATATTCCTTGTAAAAATCTTCAAACACGTATGTATCAAGACAATCTTTCAAGGGAATAACACCCTTTTCTGAACTAACCTTGCACAACTCATCATAGGTAGTCTTTAGAAAATTGTAGAAATTAAGATCGAGGATTACGTCTGTCGGGTCATAGTGTGTGGGGTAATCTATGTGTCTTTTGTGCATAGGGCCTAATATTTCATCTACATGCTGCAATCATGAAAAAATAGTTAATAAATAGAATTGATGCAACATGTTCAACAACGAAGAAAAAGATTTAGTTAAAGTTGCAACTTAAATATAAAAAGAAATTATAGAAACATACACGGTTTTTTCACCACATATTCATCGTTGTCATCATTTTAAAGTCCTCATAATCCAACTCATGCATGGTATATATTCCCTTGACTGCCTTTTTTTCCTTGATTAGCTTCTGAAGATTCTTCTTTTTTTTGTCATCTGCATGTAGATAAATATTTACCGGTTGGAGTTTTATTTGTTGATCAGCCATCGTCTTCAGATTGTTAATAGCGTTTTTCTTAGCACTTGTTACTATTTTATCAATCAGTTTTCTCTTTCTTTTTACACCAATTGGAGTGTAAATTCCCAAAGATGGAATGATACCCCTTTTGGATATCAATGTCTTGATGGTTTTCTTTAAAGAGTTCACCTCGGAAATCAATGTCTTAATGGCTTCCTCTTGAGAGTTTACCTTGGAAATCAATATCTTGATGGCTTCCTCTTAAGAATTCACCTTAGAGGTACCAACACCAACAATTGAATATTTTTCTAAGGTGTAGGGAGTTCTAATATCATGACCAACACCAATACCACCAACAACACCATTACCACCACCACCATCAGTTGAATATTTTTCTAAGGTGTGGGAAGTTTTAATATCACGACCACCAACACCACCACCAGCACCACCATTAATACCACCAGCATTACCACCACCACCAACACCAGTATCACCAACATTACCAGCACCACCACCAGTACTATCAATATCACCACCAACCCCACCAACACCAGTACCAACCACAGATAAATCCCTTTTAATGGTTGTTGCTCTGGTCCCTAACTTCGATCTTGGCAAGCTGTTTATTAAAGGCTTATGTGCACCTAAGTGCGAAAAGACAGTGCAACTTTGTTATGCCGAAACTTAAATGTTAAGTCAACAACACTTTCAAATGCCACTTCTTCCGTCGCATCCGTCTTTAGGATGATATAGGCATAATGATGCACGTCTTAGTGGGGAAAATTTTTTGCCCCCGATGTAGCTTGAAAGCAGAAAGAGTAGAATTCAGAGCTTGGTGGTCTTAAGAATGGTTCGGGTGGGGGATTCTCTTAAGAATAAAGAATTCGAATAGAATCTAATTCATGTCCATGTTAACAGAAGAGCGAATTCAATATCAAGACGCTTGAGAGAAAGGACTAGCCTTGTATATACGTTATTTTTGTTTATGTCAGAGGTGCCCAAAGCTAGAAGCAAGATTTCTAGTAGGATATTCAAAGCTTTTGAGGTGGATGGATGGATTTGGAAGCAAGTGAAAGAACTAGTTGCATAGATAAAGATATACTTAATGGACCTTTGGGCTTGAAATATGTGGTTGGGGTGTTTTGTAGAGGCTCAACCTAGTCCAATGTAGTTAGATTTGACTTAAGTCACGCAATCTTGACTTAAATAATTAATCCGGCTTTATTAACCCAAAATATTGACTTGGGTCAATATGTCTTGAATTTAGAACTTAGTCCATACAAAATTTAATCCCATAAAATTTTGCATGTCTACACTTACCAAACTAGGTAAGGTAGTCATATAGCTTGCTTGACACAAAATTTAGCTTGCTTACTCCTTTATATGGTTTTGGGCGAAATTATAATAGGCGAAAGATAATCACTTTTTTTCATTTCAATTTATATGATATTGTGTCCTTATATGTCTGTTCAAAAAGAGTGTAAGATTTTATATATGAAAACGATAAAAATCTACATTTCGAAATTTTTTATGATTTTTTTTATAATCACATAAATATTAGGACATATATATCCCACAATTAGATAGGGTCGGGGTAGGTTTTATATGTACTCCACGTATAAAAAAACTAAGCAATACGATATTCCAAGCTTAATTAGTTTCTTGCATAATTAATTAATGAGCACGAGCAAAAAATTAATATGGTTAAACAAAAAGGCCATACCACTTTTGTGATATATATGTACAACTTGTGTTCCAAGTTGTTTATATTACTAAAAATAAATAAAGATATTCATTTCAAAATATTTATTAGTTAATAAAATTAAGATAAAAATTATTATTTTTATTTTTATTTTACTTTTAAAATTATTTATTCTTTAAAATAAACAATATTTTGATTATGTTAAAAATATTAAAAACAAATTCATAAAAAAATAATTTTTTTTTATTTATGATTTCTTAAAAGGTGGGTAAATGAGAAAAGTGAAATCAAATATGATATGGCTGCATGGATAAAATATATTTTATAGGTTTAAAAGGATAGATCTTGTTAAAAAAAAAGTCCTTGTCATCTTTACACGTTTAAAGCCTTTTGCTAATTATCTTCTATCTTTTTAATTAGTGATTTTCTGATTAATAAAGATTTGAATAAGTATCTAAGAAGATTATCTTGCTTTAGCTACAAACAACAAGAACAATAATTAAAGCGTAAATTGGATTCCCAAAAATATTTTACGTGTTGTAATCAGTCTAATTACCACGTTAATTTATATTATAAATAATTTAATTAATAGATGGACGAAAAGATTTAGCGGCTGATTTGTCTTAATCCCGTCTAATGTAACTCAAGGGTACTATAGTCTTTTCGATCTGTTTGGGTATTTTTTTTGACATAAGCGTTTGGACAAAGATCATTTTTCAATAATTAAAAAAACAGATTTGGTGAACAAAGTTATTTGATAAAAATGTACATCAGTGAAAATATTTTCTTTGTTTTAATTTATTTTCTGATTTCAATTTGACACAAAATTTACGAAAAAGTAAAGAAACTTTATGGTCTTGAACCCAAGATATGTTGAATGTATTAAAATGTCTTTTAATTTTATAGTCTTAAACTTTGTCACGTAGAAGGTTTAAAATTAACAAATTGCTAGAAAGGATAAATATTCTTTTTTAAATAGACTAAAAAGGAAAGTGAAATAAACAAATGCAAGTTGAAATTTACAATTGTGGGATTGTTTCACCCTTAACAAGAGTTCTTTGGGTTCGAGCCCTAGATATGCATGGAGAAAATCTTATTGGGAGCGTCATCCCCAAATTAAATGAGTTTAGCAATGTACAATCTGAATTTAATTAGGGCTCCCAGGCAAACTACGAACACCGATGTAGAAAAAAGGAAATTTGCAAGGAATTCATAAACTGGATTGAATGCCACAATAATTTTTTTTAAATAATGAAGAAGTAATTGTTCAGAAAAATTGTTGTTTTTTTCATTATTCAAATACAAATTAAATTGATTAGTTCTGTTAGTGGTTAATATTGCGTCTAAAGATATTTTACAGAAAAACTTTAAAAGATTCAATCAAAGTCACACTAACACTAGCTACAAACATATAAAATGTTTGATCAAATCTTAGTAATTTATCTCGAATCACACTCACACTAGCTAGAAATATATAAAATTAAATGTTAATGCAAAAAGAATCAATCAAGGATTTGGTGTTTTTTTTTTCTTACTATATTCACTTTGTCAAAATTTATGTAATACGATAAGAATTTTGAGATCTAAATTTTTTAAACTTTGACGTAAACTGAGTCAGGTTCTCTAAAAAAAAAAAAAAAAAAATTTTTTATGTGATATAATTAGAATTGTGAGATTTAAATTTTTCAACTTAGACTTGAATTGAGACATAGAAATTTTAAATTTTTTGAAATAATATTTATATATTTGAAATTATGTAAAAAACATTATAAATCATAATGATAAATAACTTAAAATATTTAAAAGTAATAAAAGAAAATTCTAATTAAAAAAAAAACTTGGTTAACTTTTGAAATTATGATCGTACCATCAGGAGCATAGCTACATGTAATGAAGAGTGGCCAATTGAACATCATTCGTCAAAATTCAAAACATAGAAAATTATATAAAATATATAAATCAAACAATAATTTTTATTAGAATATTAATAAATTTTGAACATTCTTCGTACAATTTCTGATTTTGTCGCCACATAATTTGAGAATCAGTACAAAAATTGGCTCTTTCATTTTGTCCTTTGTTTCATTTGCTTTTTGCTAAAATAGGAGGTATTATTATAAATTAAACATTAGTGCTTAATTACCACCAAATATAGTATAGTAAATGTTTCTAGACCACAAGAATTTTCAAGTGGAGCCAAAAAGTACTTTTTTAAAAATTAGCTTCCTCCTAATGTTCGGAGTCTGTATTGAAATTTTGATTAAATTTGATCATAGATTGTACACTATAGAACCCATTCAATTATCATTTTGTTCAATGCTCTGTTGCCGCTGATTAATATCAAAGAATATAAAATTCAATTTTTTCTTTATATTGTGAAATGTTATGTATAATTAAATTAAGATATATATAATGAAACAGGGGAGTATTATAAAAGAATCAGAAAGAGGTACATCATACATTTTAAGTTATTAGTGTTGTTTTTCTTTTTAGTTTGTTACCTCAGGTGTCGTAGCTAATTGAGTAGCTCTAGAAGCATGTGTAAAACCTCGTAATGAAGAACGTGATTTTTCTCAGAAAGGTAATGAGATTATTCGTGAGGCTCGTAATAATGAACTTGCAAAATGGATCTATTTATTATAAAGAGATTCATCGTTCTTGATCCTGCTTCACCTTAATTGTTATTTGAAATAAGTAAAAGTTCAAAAATCATCATATAATAATCTAGTAATTGCAATAGAAAAGAAATAAGGGAGGTTTTGTGATAATTTTTCAATTTTTTTACCAAGTAATCTAGTATCCTTATGCATTCGATCGTTGTGATCGCACTCTATTATGGATTTCTGACCACGTTCTTCTTATCTTTGTAGCAACTGAAATCTTAAACAACAAAAAAAAAAAAAATCTTAAAGAGAAGTCTCTCTTTTTTTTTGGCAATTCCTTAATTCTAATGAACTTTCACATGACATATACAAGATCACAAAATTAAAAAATATATATATTTTGATGCATTATACATATCTTTGATTTAAAACCACAAAACTCAAAATTTCTTTATTTTGTTAAACTTCTTAGTTAGAGGTAGTAATTGATTTTATACCCATTAAAATTGATAACATTATAATCCTAAAATAGTTAGTGATGTGGGATTAATCTATGAATTTAATTACTGATTAAACAAACAAATATTTGATTACATGGGACAAATCCTTGATTGATTAGTGAATTGACTAGGGAGCCTAACTAAAAGATATGATCATGTACTAGGAATCTATAATTGATATGCAAATCACATAAAAGTTGTAAAAAAGGAAAAAAAGAGTTAAAAGGACGAGTAGCAAAAGTAGCCATGATATTGTTTACTGCCCTACATAAAAAATATCTTTAGCCGCAATTAATTAACAACAACAGTTTAATTGACGCTAAATATATATTTTTAGTTACAGTTAACACTTTTTGTATATGTCCCTAAAGCCTTTAGCAATATTGGATCTAATGGCACTTAACTAACGCCGGTAAAGTCTTTAGCCCTCTTTATTAATGTGTCTATTTATTGCCGCTAAAAATTATTTTTGTTATAGTGTTACTCCCTTCAATCCTAAATAAACGTTGATTTTAGTTTGGACACACTTTTTAAAAAATTTACATTTAAAAAAAAAAAGAGTAGTATTTGTTCCAATCTAACCTTTATTAATTGCTTTGAATAAAGTCTTTCACTGAAAAAAAAACTACCAAGAAAAATACATTTAAATCAGATATTTCGTAGCTATCCAAGATTTCCATGTTTGAATCGAAATTTCAAACGCTAAAGCTCATCTTGTTTTGTTTATATTAGAACTTTTTTCTCGAATAAATCATAAAATCATAACCATCGTCTAAGTGAAGTAGCTCATGAGTATGAAATACAAATGATAAGAGTTCATGCTTGGAAAGAAATGATTGTGAATTAATAGTAGAAAATTTTATGTATTTATATAAGGATAATTTTAGAAGAATATTAATATATATATATATATATATATATATATATATATATATATATATATATATATATATATTATGAGTAGTTTGTTTTGTTTATCATTTGATGTCGATATCTGCTTTAATTTGAAATTTCATTCACAATGAAAATTTCACTTTAAAAAATAACTTTTTATTAAAAACAATTTAATTCTCAAAACGTCAATTTAAAATCTCATACATTTACCACTCCACTATAATCCGAACCATCATAGCTTAAAGTTTTTAGGCTATGGGCATTGCAAACATAAAGAATAGAAGTAAGGCTTCATATATTCCTAAAGTGAAACTTTATATCCTCCTTTATTAATAATAGGTTGGTTGTTATCTAATTAAGCCTTTCTATAAAGTCGGCTTTTTAAAATTAATAAAAAGGCGCAGTATTGAAACTAAAATCCATTAGAGAGCACACTTCAACACACATTATATACTTACCCCACCCCCTCTATTGATATATAGTTTATCAAAAAGGTATTTATAAGAATAAAATACTAAGATTAGAAAGAGGAAAAAAATGCATCGTATAAACGCCTATCAAAATGATAGCAATATATTCTTTTTTGTATATTATTAAATGATACACCTAAAATATATAACTTTTATATATATTTAGCTAGCGAATGTCACTATTTAACAGATCAGCCAAATATGTAATTTGCGTACCTAAAATAAACGAAAAAACTACTTAATTGGACAAACATCTCTACCATGTCTACTTGTTTTGTCTAATACTTTAAAATCATTATATAATATCTCTTTGTCCGTCCCTCTTCCTCCCCACCCCCCACCCCCCGGCCCTCCCTCTTTCGCCTATTTTTGCTCCCATACTCTGCTTTTGTTTTGACTATTCTAGGCTAAAGGACTTGACGGACAAATTTAGAGGTCCTCTCTCTCCCCTCTTTCTGCTTGGTCATGATATATATCTCTATATATTTTAATATCAGATACAGGTATAGATGCAAATATCTATGCACAAATACACAAATGAATGTATTGGTGGTGCATATTCCAATACTAGATACATGTATTTATGCACATACATACTAAAACTAGATATTTGATATTAGATACACTGCTAAAATTAATGTTGAATACACGAAATGAAATTCTTATCAGATAAACTGCATGAAATTAATTTTGGATACACAGATACATGAAATTGATATTCGATATACAGATATATAAAATTTATGAAACTCATAATATATTCTAAAATACAAATACATAGGAAGAGAGGTATAAGCAGTACCAATAAACAGTATGCTTTATGTTGTTTCCTCTAAAATAAAATATTACTAATATACAAAAGTATGCATTTTCCATGTCATGAGGAGAATAGGAAGCTTCGTGCTCCCTTCTTGGGCCCAAAAGAGCATTTGTTTTAGAGATATGGGCCCCTCATGATAATGCAAATATCCACGTGGCTGACTACTCCACACTAAATGTGGGCTGGGCCCATCTTGAGTAGATAGCCCATTAACATACACAAAAATATATTAGTGGAGTATCCAAATTGGCAAGGCAAAAATTATTGATATTAAAAATTAGTTATACCATTCCATTTTCTCATGTTATGTACTACTGTTGTGCATTGCCATCTCTAGCATCCTCACTATCCAACTTAATTTGAATTCACGTCCGAAAAGTCAAATATAAGAATGAATTGCTCTCTAATAAAAATGACGAATGAAAGAAGCTCATCGTGGATGATAGGACAAAGCGATAGCGAATCCATTCTTGCTCTTCCCATTCCATACCATAAACAGACACCTTTGCTTCATCGACATTGGCACTATTCTTATTGAATAGTTCAAATAACTAGTTGAACATACCTATTCTTTTCAAGAATAGCCTCCCCTTATCGAAAAGAAGGGCACAATGGCAACAATCTATCTCTCTGGGGATGCGAAGAATATTTGAAACGACTTTCGAACCATCACACGGATTCCGAAATGAGTCAAGTTACCTAACGTGACACACTATATACATCAGCAGAGAGAAACCAAACTCCTCCTCAGGAGGATAGATGGGGTGATTCCACTGCGTGAGCAACCCGACTGTGTCTTACATGTGCTCTACAGACCGCACGTAATCTTTCTTCCCAACGAACCCTACCCGATGACCTAAGAAAAAACCAGTCATACCTTTGAATTTATTCTCTGATAGCTATCTTTTGCCTTAACCACATCAAAGAGTCATGATTCAATTCAGATCCATCTTGATTGATTTCTCATTTTTCGGATCTGATTGTAACAATGGAGAAGTAGGAAGACTTTGGGTATATTCACAATAATTTAGTAGCTTTTGATAGGAATCTTAACACTCCTAAACATTACAAGGGCTCCACCACCAACACAACAATGACATATCAGTGTAATTCTACAAGTGGTGTCAGAGGCAGGTAGGATATACGTGATCTTATTTGTACATTTGTGAGGTAGAGAAGTTGTTTCCAGTAGACCCTTGACTCAAAAAGATGTAATCGATGTAGGATTAAAAGGAAAATAACGACAGCATAATAGCAGGATACATAAAGAAAATGAAACAATAGCTAAGCAATTAATAACGTTGAGGGCTCCACCATTTCTTTTTTTTTTAAAATACCATTCGTGGGTATTTGTAGTGGTTAGATAGAAGTAAAGCTAGTTAATTAATTAAAAATATGGGTTGAAAAGTCTTTTAAGTATTGTTTAATTAAGGAAAATAAACTTAGTAATTATAATAATTATTCTTTCATTATTGGCCCATAAAGTACATCTTCTTGCCCTATAAATTTGTCCTAAGCAACTACCAATTACAATATTCATTCAACCCCAACAAACAAAAGCACAACACTTCAAAGAAAACACACACTCAACCAAAAAAATAAATCCATGGCAACTATAACTTCCACTTTATTAATTCAAGATTTCATGAAAAATTTACAATATTCAAGAAGACTACTTCTACCTGCCACCCCACAATACCACCATGACACCACCTTGGCACCAACAGATATATCACAAGGGGACACCACCAATACATTTGATGCACATGTTGTGATGGTACTATCAGTACTATTATGTGCTTTAATTTGTTCACTTGGCTTGAACTCAATCATAAGATGTGCATTAAGATGCACTAGTTTGGTATCAGAGTCAGACTCGTCCTCGATCTCTACAAACCTTTCAGCAACGACGAAGCTGACAAATAACGGGATCAAGAAAAAAGCCCTTAAGATGTTTCCAATTATAGCATACACTACTGAGTTGAAACATCCAGGTCTCGACTCTGAATGTGTCATTTGCTTATCGGAATTTATTGCGGGAGAGAAAGTTAGGGTTTTGCCTAAGTGCAACCATGGGTTCCACGTTCGATGTATCGATAAATGGCTCAATTCACACTCTTCTTGCCCTACTTGTAGACATTGCCTCATTGAAACTTGTCAAAAAATTGTCAATGGTGGTAGTTCTAATTCAACTACAACTACAAGTACAATTTCAAACCCTCAAGTAGCAGCACAAGAAATTATTATAAGGATTGAACCTCTACAACATGAAGGTGTGGTATCTAACCATCAACATTAGGTATAAAATAGTTAGTTTAGTGGCTAGAGTTCAATTGATTGATATGTTATAACATACAGTCAATTAGTAGCTTTCTAGTAATCAATTCAGTTGATTACAAGATGGAGAATCGAACCCTCACCAATAAGGTGAAAGTTCAGATAGTCAACCAACTGAGTTGTTAAAATTCTTCAGTTTTTTTTTTTTAAATCTATTTTGAGGAAAAATTTAGCTAGGTTGCAAAAGCCAAAGGCCAATGCTCATGTAAGTTTTTAAGGGGTTCGTTAGTTTGGCAAATTGTATCATCAAATTGTATATAAATTAAAATTCCTTTACTAAAGCCTTTTCCTGTTAGAAAAATCAAGGAGAATAAAATTTAACAAGTAGGGGTTTAATTATGTTTTAAAATATTCCATGATGAAGAATAAAGAAATGTTTGGAACAAATTATTGGAACCTCACGGGGCTTGCTATTTCTAAATCCAATTATTTTTCCATTTTGGTATTTTCATTTTCTCCTACCACTTTAGCGGTATATTAATAAAGATTACGCTAAAATCTTTGCCGACATTAGTCAATTGTCATTAAATTCAATATATCATTTACAAAACGTGCTAATTGCCTCTCCCTCTCTCTCTCTCTATATATATATTATTTTATTTTTATTTTTATTTTTAAAGTAATAATTTTAACTTACGTATCAAACACAAGAAAATAAATAAAATCAAATCCACTTATTTTTCTTCCTACTGAACACACCTTTTGTAGGTGTGGTCTGCGGGTTGGGGGCGTTGCATTATAGTAATGATAAGATTGAATAAGTTTTTATGATACGATAAAATAAATTAAATTAACTAAAGGAAAGGAAAGTTCTTAACGATGGTTAAAATAAATTAAATACTATATTAAAATGAGATTGCAAAAATTAAAGAATATCTTGGAAGATTCCCAAGAACGAATTTAAAATTGTAGTATCACTGCACCAAAAATGATTTTTAGCTGCACTTAATTAACGAAAATAGCTTAATTGTACTAAATATGTATTTTTACGGTAATTAGCACTCTTAGAAAATATTCCTAAAGCATATAGCAACATTGAATCCAATGACAATTAACTAGTGCCGGTAAACGCGTTAGCACTTAACATTCTTTATTAATGTGTATATATATTTATTGCCGCTAAAAAGCGTTTTTATTATAGTGCATGTTGGTTCAAACGTTGAAATGACAAGACTCAAAAGCAAAACTAGAATTTCAATTTTATGAATTTTAAGTGATAATAACCGAATCTAAATTTAATATTTATACATTTTTTATGAACTTATTAACATAAATATATTATTTAAACAAAAGTAAATCGAATTTACATACAAGATACTAGCTCCATCCCTGATAAGACTAATGGGAAAATTAAGGTATTAACTGGACAAGAATTTACTCTTATATTAATGTTATGTGAGTAGACAAATCACCAAAAAAGAAGAAATATAATTGCACTATATCAATTATTAAAGCAAAATAGCCAAGTCCACTGATAGATTTAGCCAGTGTTAAGGAGCAAAAATGGCTATCTCTTAATGAGAAATAATTTTATTTTTTTAAAGGAAATTCACTTTCTAATAATTAACTATATTTTAAGTATTTAAAGGTCTGTCTCACTTCTCACTATAATATCTAAAATAAACTATTTTTTTCATAAATATGATATCTTTTATTTACTAGGTATTTGGAAGAATTTAACAAAGTAATTAAATATATATTGAAGAAAGTAAATACTCTTTTTCTAGAGTTAAGAATAGTGTTCATAATGTGTTGCTCAAACTCAACGTTTTAAGGCAAGTTTCGCAGTGGGGCGTAGTGAATATGTATTGATTACCATAAATGGATAAATAATTTAAATTTAATGAGTTAAACTTTTTTTTAATTATAAAACTACTTATACGATTGAAATAGGTCCGACAATTCATATCCTATATGAAAATTGTTCAATTCTGTATTCAAGAAATTGCAATTATAATCCAAATGGTTGTTTTTTATGATTGCTTTTTAAAGTTTAATTTCGAATTTCGAAATAATCTATTTTGTTGTTTTGAATTTTGAAATTATAGATTAGAATTTAATATCGTAGGAAGACATCAAATATATATGTTTTGCTTTGAAAATGTTACTAGTTTTAATTGAATAACAGATGGTCAATCTAATTTTTATTTGAAAAAGTTATGGATATATATTGTTCAGCCAACTAGTTTATATTCGTCGAAATATACATAACATATACATTATCTTGCGTATAGATAACTTGAAACTTTGACTCATTTTCTTTATTCTTTAATTGAATCTGACTGTTTGACTGTTTTTCCATCAAATATTCAGTTCCCAACCAAGTTCTATTTGAAAGGATTGAATATCGTAATTCATCTCTAGTATAGTCAAAAAATGTATATTATATGTAGTACATATATATCCTTATTAGTATAAAATATACAATATATATACATTGTATATGTTTTATAAACTTATTAGTCTTAACTATTTAGGGCCATAACTATCCTATTTTATTTTTGGCTTGTTCTTTTAAGCCATCAAAATACGTGCTTGGTAGCAAATTAAAATATAAATTTTGTAATTTTTATAGACAAAATTATGTAGAATAACAAATATTTAGCCTATATTAGGTATTATAGCTACAGTTTAAGAAAATTGTAATTCACAGCTATAATTTCCCTAATTCTTGTTATTAGACTGATTTTTTTATAATTCTCCTAATTTGTATAAATCCATAATATGTATAATTAGGTTTCTGATTGTATAAATTCAGAATTTTGTATATGCTTACCCTAGCTATTTGTATATGATTTATAAAAAATTCATAACAAATTTCCATGTTTGTATATTGCCAAGCGAGATATACAAACAGAGTTTTGAAAATTCATAAATGTATAAATACAGAATTTATATATATATACTTACCATATTTGTATATTCGCAAGCGAAGTATACAAACAGGTTGAAATATACAAACCGCAGTCTCCATAGCAAACGAAATCATAGATATGGAGCGCAACTATCGAAACTATAGTTATAGAGCTTTATTATATCTATTATGTTCATTATTTCTAAATTTTTCTCTCTTTTATACCTGCGACTAGGGTTGTACAAAATCGAACCGAAAATCGAATCAAACCGCAAATCGAGTCAAACCGGAAAAAAAAGCCCGACTATATTTGGGTTGGTTTGGTTTTAACTAAAAAAAACCAACCCGAGACCAAACCAACCCGACATTATATATGTAATTTTAAATTTTATTTTATACATAAAAATATTTACTTTTATATAATTTTAAAATATTTCTTATACTATTTCATAGTTTTTATCTTTTAATATATTATTTCAAGTTTAAAACTTAGAATTCGGAATGGTCCAATAAAGATTATAGTTCATAGATGTTGATAATTATAATAAAACTTAAATCAAAATCAAATTAATACTAATGCAAAAAGAAAATCAATTCAACACTAAGAATGACAATAATATTGAATATTTGTTCTTTAGTTTTTACATTGGTTTAGACAATTAAAATACACAATTTAATTTTAATTTTCCTTAAATATTTAGCAATGTAACTAATACTTATTAAACTTATTTTAGCATGATTTAGTACTTTTAAATTATGATCATTTTCATTATGAGTTTGCAATATTTATTTTATATGATGATTTCATTATTATTTTTTATTGAATATTTTTGTGTCATCAGTACTCATCTCATATTTTGTGTTATTTTTTTAAAGAAATACCTTAGATAATTGTATTTTGGTTGGACTAAAGAAATATTTAGAGCACAAGTTAATTATATGTTTGTATGCAAACTTTACCGAAAAAATCTGAGGTTTATTAGTTTGGTTTGATTATAAATTTAAAATTCAACACAATGGTTTGGTTTGGTATTTGAAAAACCCGAACCAACCCGAGGTTGAAAAACCCGAAAAAATCCGAATTTTATTAATTTAGTTTGGTTTATAAATTTAAAAATTTTACACAAATGATTTGGTTTGATATTTGAAAAATCCAAACCAACCCGATCATGTACACCTCTACCTGCGACTCTACGGTAAAGGAAAAAGACACAATCAAAACTGAATCCAAATAGAGTGGCTTTGATTAATTCAATCAAATTATATAATCACCATGCTTAAGTATATGAAATGGGAGCTGAATAGGCATGCACAAATGTCTTATCAATAACATATGGTGTAATATAGTAACTTGTGTCAAAAGGTAATTTTTGTTTTATGCAATTATAGTATATAAGTATGTTTTTGCATCTATATAGGTACTAGGGCAATTAGTACACTAGCAATATTGGATCGAAGGCTATAGGATAAATTAGTATAGCATGATATTGATAGTGTCTTGCACATACAACACAAAAGAAAATTAAAAAAATGTTTAGTTATGGAGTACTCATCCACCCCTTTTTACTTCTTAAATCGATAATCATTTTTCGATTAACCTAGCCTCCTCTTTTTCTCGAAACTAACAAAGAATAATACAAGAATATTCACATGTTATCCATTCACTATACGACTTTCGTCCTTTTAAGTGCTATACTTCACGACACATACACATGAACAACAGCGGCGGAGGTAGAAGTTTGGCTGCATGGATTCAATCGAGTCCAATGCTTTTTTTTCAGTTGTGTTGGAAATTTTATTAAATATAGAATTTAATTATTAACACTTGAATTCATTACTTTAAAATTCTAATCTCATCAAATTAAAATTTTAACTCCGCTTTTGCACCCATTTTAAAATGGAAGTGTCTATAAAGACGGTCTGAGAATAATTAGTACATTATACATAAATATAAGGAGTTAAAAAAACTGTCTGAATTTGTCCATCTTTGCAATATTATACTGAACCATGACATTAAATTTATGGTGCATTCCACATTGTTAAGACTAAGGTTTATGTAATAATAATTAAGTGTTGAATGTTTGACGACACTTGCTTTGCACCAATATTTTCTAATTTAAAAGATGGTTGTGTATAGTAAAATTTGGGTTAATTAAAAAAATTAAGTCTTCATTAGTTCCAATTAATTTGTGTGCCTTCCAGGCTTTTGGTCTAATGGTAAAAGCGCAACATGTGATGTGTAGATTTAATATATAATTTAAG